AGATTAATTTGCGAAGAACCTCCTTCCATGTCTTTGGGGGATGCAAGTGCCTTAATCGAATATTCTCCGATGCGTCAGATTAGGGCAAGTCAAGGGTTGGAATGGAGGCCAATGAGAAAGTTTAAATGTATTCTGCGGTCAAAGAACCTACCCATGCATCGAGGGCAGCAGAAGGGATCCCACACAACCACATTGACGGCAGCGCAGGGAAGCTGGTCGAGAGGGGTGCAATAGTCGAAGCAGTGCCAGACACCGTCCACACACTGGCACTGCCTGTCCACACAGACGCCAGGAATGAGTACAGTCTCGCTGTGTAGAAACTGTCCACTGCCCAATTTTCGTTCACTATCGCCGACGTCATCCTCTGATCCAGGTTTAGAAAGACCGGGTTCCGACCAGAGTTCACTTGTTCCGTCTGTCTCGGCCTCCGCGTTGCCAACAGAAGGCGGGCTAATGGTCACTTCTCTTCTCATCGGCAGCAGCCGGTATTGTACCTCTTCATTGCCTGACTGAAACTGGGGAGACGAGTCGCTCTTCGAGAACTCGGCCTTTTGGCTCATCGGATTGCAGCTCTTTCGTGGTGTAATGTGGCCTGAATGGACTGGACAGGAGAAAATGACCATTAATTACTTTATATATTTATTTATTTATTTATTTTCTAATTGATATAATTCTTCAGGGCTCCTCATGACTTTTTCGGGGATCCACCATCTATTGAAGGATAAATACTGATTTATATGAGCATAATCATTCTGAGATTAGTAGCAAGAGAAGGAAAAATAGTAGATAAAGGAAATCAGCCGAAACTCCAAAGGCTTACCATCCAACCGGACATGGACCCAAATACAACTTAAGATACGCTTACACAATTATGGCCCAAAAATGCTTGCCTTCCCAGCTTACGTTACTAAAAATACGAAACCTTTGAATGGGTTTGCATGTGCCTTTTGCTGTACGCCCAACGGTCAATCTCAACAAGAGTCTTTGCGATCGCATTCCTTAGTTGTCGCGCAAGTAACCCTTCTATGGGAAATGTTCGCCCCGTGGCGCTGTAACCAGTGCTGTGCATAAAAAGATTTATATATGATATCCCAGCTTGTGTGCCTCATATGAACATGAATGTGGTAACTTAACGGAAGTTACGTTTCCGTGTTAATGGTGTCGAGCAATGAAAACTTTCCAGCAAAAAAATCAGAACATGAAGAGAACTTTTGGCACTCCTTTGACGCTTCTGCCCATGGGGAATACAGTTCTCATGTCAGATTTATACTTTTTATCGTAGAAAACTACCGCATATTATATGTTGTAGTCCTATGGTTTATGGTAAAATATGGCTATCCGATTATAGCGTTGTCAGTTAGTCTGAAACGACACGTGAAAAATCGTTTATTAAATTGAACTCAAAAAGAAACGTGTCTTCTTCTTGCAACGCTCTTTCGTGTACTTATGGTGCCACAGCTACCAGTCGATACCCTTTTAAGATGGCCAGGAAATCGTAACTGGGCTTACAGCATACTTTGCGCAAAACCTACAATCAAAGCACATATTGCGATAACTTGATTCATGAGATAGTTGGATTTTATTACAAGATATGCAGTGGAACTAGTTTCAAATAAGGAAAAGTGGGTAGCTTTGGGGATGAACAAAATAGAGTAACTGCTATCGAATACTTCTTCATCTCGAGCAGACCGTGTCTGGCACTGCGGTTTTGTTTGAATGAACATATAGACAAAGCCATGATATTCGTATGAAAGTAGGGTTTCGAAACTACCAGGAAATCATTGTAATGAGATGTATTCACCCTATTT